AATTTTTTTAATTAGTATTATATAACAATAATATGTTTTTCATTATTGTTTAGCAAGACTTTACTTGGCATAGAAACCGCACGTGAACTATCGAGAAGTTGTTTCTGGCAGAGTGTGCTAAGCAATCCTCCAGAAACATATGCAAGTTGAAACAGAAGTGGAGGAAAGGTCAAGGAAAACCGAAGGGTTTGAATGCCTCCGTCTGGCAACACTACATCCCCTATTGGCAATAGCCAGATACGGAAAAGACATCGAAGAAACAGTCCAAAAACCGGAAGAGTAAACGAAACGGCAAGAGGAAATACATCCACAACTCCGGCTCGATGAGTTTTTTGAATCGAGAAGACCAAATGGTAATATTATTTTCCCTTTAACACTTTTGTATATCAGTTATTGTCTTTAAAATATTATTTATAAGTTTTTTTCTTAAAGACAAAGGCGGCATGAGAAGAGCCTCTACATCATCTAGAGGTGATGAAGGCGTGTCACACAAACAAGAACACCAAAGTAATTCAAGATCTTATTGTAGCTGAAATTTGTTACAAGATGGATGAAGAGCTCAGCCAATAATCACAAGGTGATTCTTCCTCTTCCGTCATTCTCTCGCGCGAAGAAATCAACCGTCGGGTTCGCGAAGTAAATTTACTTTTTTGTTTTTCCTTTATAATTAAATTGCTCTTTCTTATATAATTTTGTTAGTTAATAACATGTGTTTGACTTTTGCAGGTATTTCCCGTTGCAAAAGGACGTTGATTTGGTCTCGGAAAAATACTATACAAAAAGGAGATATTGGGCGTTAGCCAGGTTCCCGAAGATCTTATCGAGCAGAACCAAGCATTTCAGGAGAAAGTAACGGCTTTGGAGAAAGCTAAAGAGGATACAGAGATGAAGCTAGGCGCTACACAAGACGAGCTTGCGACCATGTCGAGCTGGATGAGGTCGAGGTTTCTTGATTTTCCACCAAGTTCAGGGACAAGCGAAAGTACGGGAACGACCGAAAGTACGAGAATAGGAAATTAGAAATATATTTGAATTTCTTTTTTCATTTTGTATTTTGTAAATTTGATATTTAATATTTTGTATGAATTTAATTTTTATTTATAAAATTTGAATCCAATTTAATTTAAATTTAGTATTTTAATTATTTATATAAATAATTTAAAATTATAACAAATAACTTTTTTTATTAAAATAAAAAAGTGGTCGAAACTCGGTCGGGAAATTAAAAAAAAAACAATTCCCGTTGGGAATCGTCGGAAACTTTAAAATGCGCCTCTCCGTCGAAATCCGTCAAGAATTGGAACCCGCCGTGGGTTTTTAGTGAAAAAACCCCTAAACTAAGTTTGAATCGGATATAAATCCCTCAACTATTTTTGTAATGTAAAAATCCTTTAACTAAGTTTTCGTAATGATATAGCCCCTCCGTGAACAGTACCGTCAAATCTTAACGAATTACAGTTAAATGAAAACGTGGTGTTTTGTATTTAATAAAAAACAAATGATTTCAATAAAAGAAAACCCAAAATCGATTTGAAACTAAAAATCCCAATTTAAAAATTAGGATTCCTCATTCAATTTGAAAATCTCTTAAATTCTTCTTCTAAGTAAATTCGTTGGAGGAAGAAGAACAAGGTTTTAAACACCAAAGTAAAGCAGTTGCCTCATCTTCTTCCAAACTTCAGATTTATGATTCTTTCTTCTCTTTCTCCCAATTTGAGAAAATATTTCTCTCAATTCAAGGGCTTTTCTCTCAAATTCGTTTTAATCAACACAACAAATCATTTCCAATCTCACCCAATTAACTTCCAAACCATAAAATCTACTTAGAATCACGCTTTCAAAAATTAGGGTTCATCAATTTAGGTTTAAGAATTTGGGGATTTTAGAGATTAGGTTTAATTTGGGATTCTCTGGTTTTCAAAAAAATTGTTGTTTAGAGTAAAAATTGTGTAGTTTTTGCTAACGTTTTGTTAAGATTTGACGGTGCTGTTCACAGAGGGGCTAAATCATTACGAAAACTTAGTTGAGGGGGTTTTTACGTTACAAAAATAGTTGAATGGTTTTTATCCGATTCAAATTTAGTTGAGGGGTTTTTATCCGATTGAAACTTAGTTGAGGGGTTTTTTCACTAAAAGCCCGCCGAGAATCTGTTGGAAATTATCAAATTCTATATTTCTCGGATTTCCGTCGGGAATCATAGCGCAGTCGGGAAAGGGTCGGGAATACCAGGTCCTTCGGAATCCGGTCGGAAACGTTATGCCCATTAGAAATCTGTCGGAAATATGGTTTCCTCGGATTCGGTCGGAAATTACTGATCGATTTCCAACCAATTTTTTTCCGACAAGATGATTCTGACGACTGTATTTTGTCGGAAACTTGTCGGAAAAGCCTTTTCCAGAAAGGTTTTTCCGACGGATATGGTCGTCAGAAATCACATGTTTTCTTGTAGTAGCCCATCATATATGAATGGACAATCACCATATCTCGTCTATCATGCACAAGGCATGATGCCATTGGTCCATCTGTACTATAAGCTAGGTAGATAAAATCAGTTATAAAGTGTTTATAAAAGAATTGATGCAAATTAGAATCAGGTGCTAACTAACGATTCACATTAAATCTAACAGAGCAGGCACCTAGTTCGACAAGAGGATTTATCCTCAGGTATACATTCCAAGCATCAGTTCACACAATTTGGAGGACAGAACCATAGGAGGCATGGTGAACCGAGCACACCTGGAGACATTCTTGTCAAAAGACTCAACGTGATGGTTCGGAACAGACTAAGCTCGCTACGCAGGGAAGGAGTGAAAAAATTTGAAGGTGGGCTGCAAACTTGGCTTGCCACGAGAACCACATAAAAATTTCAATATAGTTTCTTCTTTATTTGAGCCAAGATTAATAAACAGTAAGAGAAAAGTTGTAAAAACAGTTGTATTTTTTTATTTTGAATATAATTTAACATTTTATTCAAAAAAAATAGTGATTCACATTAAATATGTGTACTTTTACACCAGTTAAAATAATTTAATTTATTTTAAAATTTTTTAAAAAATATTTTTAATTCAAAATGGATACTAGTCAATATTAACTTGCATCACTTTTGAAAAACTATCACATATAACACTTACATTATCCATATGTTAGGGTTAAAAATGATTACGAGCGAATCATTTAATTAAACACCTATGATAAAGTTGAAAGAAGTTAAGTATGACTTTAAGACAATTTCTCTCTTTAAAACGTAAAAGACACAATCCCTTTTTCTCTCCGCCATAGTCCAACATAGCTCATCAAGATTGATTCATTGGATCGACAAAGCCCATCCAAAAAACAAGGCCCATTAATTCAACAGGCCCGAATAACCTGACCGAGCTAATCTGCAAAAAGCGACGAGGTCGCACAACTAAGGCATCTGAGGGGGTCGATCCAGTCTAGCTAACCGGCTGTACGACCTACTCTGCCCGTGAATAACCTAATCGTTCTACTATAAATGATCATGCACCCCATTTGAAAATGATCCGTAATTCTTTTTAAAATCTGACTTAAAACGGATGCAAATTTTAGACTTTAGCATTTTAATTAAAGCACAATAAAAACCGTCTAAAAAGAGACTTGCAAAAGAATGACACCAAACCATCTTGTTTAAAACCTTAATTCTTCAAAGAGGTTTCTTTCACAGCATTAATCACCAAAAATTGACTGCTAACGATGCTGTACTTCATCATCGTATGGTCTAATGCAATTAACACTCGAGAGCACGCTTTTCTAGTCACTGGCAAGAAACAATGAAACATATTAAATATGCATCAAACTTATGACATATACTTTTTTGGTGGAATGAATTCGTTAATTAAAGCCTAAGAATTATAGGGAAAATGACTGAGACATACCTTTTTGTCTAAATATTTCTTTTTATTCATTGTGTCAATGAACGTTTGCAAAATCCAAACATTTTATTATAAGTTTCAAAACCCGAGACATGAATAGAAAAAAAAAGAGGAAAATCTCTTCCCCCCCCCCCCTCCCCGGCATTCTTTGCTTATAACAAACTGTAAATGGATTGCAATGGAGTCTTTCTACACAAGTTTACTATAAGACTGAATGATTTACAGAGCTTCAAACAAATCGAGGTGTTGTCTTTTACATGTAAAGAATTACAAGTAAGACATGAAAAAAAAAAAAAAAGACAATCGTAATACTAATATGTTTCAACAGCAAAACAGACATGCCTATAATCTCGGTCCATATTCACAAAAGAGATCTAACAACTCAAACCGACAACAGAACATTGAAGGTTGGCTTATTAATTTATATATTTTGTCTTCGAATATTGAAGGTCAGTTTGGAGAATTGCGAAAACTAAGCCAATTTAATTGATAACGTTTCTTGACCAAATCACAATGTACTACGAAATTCATATATTATCCTGAAGAAAACATTGCACGCCACCCACATTCTGATCCCTCGAAAGTAGCAATGTTATAATCAAAACCACTTCGCTCCATATAAATGGTGTCAAGCTCAAACGTTATTTACATGAGAATCTCATGTATGTTTATTTTTCTTGAAATATTGAGCATTAAACGTTTTCCAAGTTGCTAATCAAATTGTGTCATAAAAAAGACACAAATATAATACTCTCGTTGGAATAAAGAGGGTAAATTTTCAATGATTAACTCGTTGCACTAAGTTAAAAAAATATTATTTAGATATATTCTCAAGATCATAAACAATAACCAAATAGCAATGATCTTAAACTATTTATGAGCATGAAAATATATATATATATATATAGTCTAAAATGACTTAATTGATCTCACATAAGTTCAAATCTGAGATAAAAAAAAAACAACGAAAACAGAGTTCAATTCTAGAAAAAAACCAGAAAGAAAAAAACATTAAATATATGATTGTTTCACTACTCTTGATGATGTTTCAGACACATCAAGAGAGCTATTATTATCTGGCATGCTTGGGCACAACCTGAACTTATAACCTTAGATAAATTCAATGAGATCATTCTTTTGAGACATGCTTTTTATGTAATTGATCCTTGCATTATCAGGTTCGAATAGCTTGATCTTTGGGTTTCTAGGCTTCGTCAACGTTAACTTCTCTAGAGATTTTGCGTACCGGACAAAGAACTCCATTATATCAAGCTCATGCGAGTGATTTTTATAGCCCATGATCTCGACAAACTTGATACTGTTCAAACAGTAGTTGTGAATCCGAATATGTTGCTGATGATGAACCTCCCAAAAAACTCCAGGTTCAAATGTGTAATCATTTATCTGCACATAGCAAATCATTTATCTACGTAGAATCGAAGTATTGTTTGGGTAGATTAGTAGATTAGTATATATATTCAGAGAGAGAGAGAGAGAGAGAGAGAGAGAGAGAGACGTACATCGATCAAAACCTTTTTGAGGTTAGGGCACTGTTCGAGGAATTGAGCAATGTCAAAAAGATTGCAAACTGTTGGAGCTTTAAAAGAAATCTGAAATTCTTGTAAGCTCCAGAAGCAGAAAATCTGTCTTCTAATTGCTCCTCCATTGTATCTACACGTCAAAGCCTATACATATACATGTGAAAGGAAACATCAAAACATCAAAGCACGAGTGAAAAAATATTAACAAGAGAAATTAACATGTGAAAGCTGCAGTCTATGTGTGATGACTGATGAACACTCTCTATGATCATGAACATTTAAATGTTAAAGAGTTGAGAAAATGATACTCTAGAATCTAACAACTTAAGCTTTAAAAACTGATGCATGCAAGAAATATGAGCAACGAAATTTAAAAGAATAAGATTTTCGTCAGATTTTATTTGTTTTCAGTGTCAGATCTTACTGTATCTTTTATATATATTGAGATTAATCTCGTCTTTCTATAGATGATAGATCAAGTACTTTTTGTAATTTTTGTTGGATTCCACAACTAAGTTAATTCTGAAAGTTGTCTATCATTAATTTCTAGATACCCACTAAGACAAAAAATAATATAAAAAATAATTCGAGGCATGTCTAATGAGGGTGGTATAAGGTCTTATATATATATAGGCCTTTCAAAAAGTCTTGTTGGGTCAAAAAATTTTCAAATTTGCAACCTCATTAACGAATGATTACGAAACAGATTAAATGGTTTGGTCAGCCAAATATATTATATAGAAGGCAAAAAGGTTTTAGTAGTGGTGTTGAGAGTTAGGTCGAATCTAACTAGAATAAAGTTGAAAACAAGAGAGAATTTAAAACAAATTGAAGCAGAGACCTAATTTTGGAGTTTCTTTATTATTGTTAGAATGAATATATAATACAAACCTTTAGACCCGTGTTTATCAACCTTAAAATTTGATTCCTAATCCTAATTAGTCAATGAAAGGGATGAAAATAATAAGATTCATTTGCTCAAGAATACTTATTAACTCAAATGCATATATAACCTCTTTGGAGGGATGAAAATAATAATATCCATTTGCTCAAGAAGGACCATAGCATACGAAATAAATGAGATTTTAAGTCATGTCTCATTCACCTAAGACCTAAGTGATACAATTTCCCATTCGATCTATTTTATTTGTTAACGTCTAAGATAAACATTTTCATTCACCAGACCTAAGACCTAAGTGATACAATTTCACAATCGATCTTCTTTACTAATGGATAACGGTATTCAAAATAATAACTCTGTAATCCTGTGGTAATTCAAATTTCCCTCTCTCTCTATCTTTTTTCTTCATTTTATAGAAACCAGAACAAAATTCTAGATGTTATTATAAAGGAGAATTAATTGCTTGAGTGCTTCGGAATGGCTATATGATTATTTAAACAACTTCTTCATATAAAAGTTTGCAGAAAATAGAAAAGCACATATCCATAATAGCTATCACTTCCTTAAAAGATGTCTAAATAAACATTTTTTATGATCTCAACTCGTGCATATGATATCATAAACTCTACTCAGTTATTATAAAATAACTTGCAAACAAAAACTATTTCATGAATTTTTTTTTTAAAAAACTAAATTACAATAAAAAAAATAAGACTTACCTCAAGAAAGATGTTGGTCGTTGCGAGAACACGAACTCTTATATAGGCCCTCATATTAGCAAGCACCATGTCAGATGGATCAGAATAACGCCAAGTAAAACTTCGATTATAATAGAGTTTTGCCTCTTTAAGTGCGTGCACTCTTGAAAAGTAAACCATCTTATTGCAATATCCATCATACTTGTAGCATTCGAGAGTAGGTGCATCCACAATAATTTCAAAAAGATTTGGCATAGTAGACACGACTAGCGACTTAAACTTCTTATGATTTCGGGCGTTGATGCTCAATATCCCATACATTAGACAGTTGATAAGCTCAAGGGTCTCAAGGTGGATGCAGTTGCTGAATATTGCATCTATCATGTCTTTATTCAGTTCATTAATCTTAGTTAGCGCAAGTGTCTTCAATAACTTCAAACCCTTTAGAGAATTATCTGGTATTTTGAAGCTACACCATCCTAGCTTCAAAACTGTTAGCGTCTCGATGGCCGAGAAATCGACCGGGATGTTGGCAACTTTTTTTGATTTAGAGAAATCCAACACAAGTTCTTGAATGTTTTTACCAAGACATGTATTGATCCATGAGAGTATCTTATCTTCCACTCCGATGTGATTGAGAAGTAGCACAAATCGATTAATCTCCGAGCCTTTGTAATCATTAAAAACGCTTTCAATGATGCGAACAGCCTTTTGTTGACCGCATCTTACAGAGTATATTTTGCTGAAATCAAGGCCGCGGGACCGGATCTCTGTGTCTTTAAACTTCTTGGACACAGAACGATTTCGTAAAACATATTGAATAGGGAGACATACCGACATGATGTGGTCCACAAGGTCGTCAGGCAAAGTTTCGGTGATTTTTGTCTTCTTTTGAGAGGATTCCATCATTTTCAAGAAAGAGTACTAGAGTTTTTCACAATAATTTTCAGTGAGCAATGATTTATATACAGACTACCATGAAAAACTCATAGATTTTTTGACTATATATACTTATAATTTATTATTGATTTAAGCAATATAATTCTATGATACATTTAATTTGTTTCTTTTCTCTTTTTACATATAGCAAAATTGTACTTTCTATATTTTTGAGAGAAAAGATTGACTGGTGTATTTCTTACCTTATGAAGAAAATTAACAACACTTAGTATTAGGTATGGTATTAATAGTTACATTAAGATTAAAAGATATTGTTAATACATATGTAATACAGATTTCATTTTTCCATAAACATATATTTTGGACCTATTTATTAATTATTTTTGGGCCAAATATTTTATATCACTGACTATTCTAAACCAATATCATTTATTTCATTCAACAGGAAATGTTTGCATGTTTGTTAATATAACTTTTTTTACGATAGAGTAGTTAGACACATCGGGTCTCTCTTATTACTCTGGATTTCAAAAAACGCCAAAACTAATTAGTAATTAAGATTTATATGTACATGTTAAAATTTTTGATTATATTTAAATTTATAGTTAACATATCTTATGAACTTAATTTTTTTTTCTGGCTGGTAAAAGGTTTCAAAAAAAATTAATAGATTTTTATTAACTTTTATTTTAAACTTCATTTCTTTATTTTTCATTTTTATAAATTTAATCAATTTTTAAAGTTTTTTTATTAGTAGACAGATTATCTAACACTATTATTTTTCTTCAGTTAATATTGAGTACAACCTATTTCCGTTTATTTACTATTCCTCACTGTAATAGTGTTGGGGTTTGAATTTTTTTATGTTATGTAATATTTATTCTGCATTAGTAATATTGATTTTATTTTAGTATACATTTTTGATTGAGAAATTGAATGGAATAGTCCTAATAAACTTAATCTTCTCTAATATAGTCCTTTATTTGGGAGAGGACCAAAATAGCATTCATTTAACATAAACCAGTTTAGAAAGAACAAGTGATTCAAAATCTGCAACGATTGGAAGAGATGATTCAACAACGGAGAGTTTCCAATCTGTTATACTTATGAAATGAGTGGTTACAGATTTACAAGCGGAGTCTGGAAGCGACGAGAAGAAATTGGCGGCGGCGAGAGTGACGTTCGCGATGCGCAATACGATTTCGTCCATGATTAGTATGACCGACGATTCAGCAATTGAAGATGCTATGATTGGTTCGATCTATGCTCTTCCAGTCTTCCCAATCTCAAGCGCACAACAACAACAATTGTGAATTGGCATGGTCACAATTCACAATTGATAAGCATTAGCGTATGACAAGTGACATTTGGAATGGAATAAATACTATAATACCGTTAATGTTTCATAACCATCGTCTCTAATTTACTCAATTATTGTCAGCATATCTTATCTAATTTCTCAGTTACTCGCTTTTTTTAATGATTCTGGGTATATTGACTTTGTTTGATCTTAGAAAAAATCTGTATTTACCAAATAGCTTTGGAAAGTTTATTAATTTTAGGATTGTATAGTTCTATTGAAGATTAAAAGAAAAGTGAGTTTATTATTCAAAGATAGGATTGCAAGTAAACTCATTTCTCATTATTCCAATCAGATCTGATGTATTAACAAGTTTATTATTCAAATTCGACGACAATGTCATTTAATTATTGGTGTTCCACTTTCTCTTGCTCATTCATCTAAGGCAGTGAGTTTGTTTTCTTTTTTTTTTTCTTTTCTTTTTGTTTGAAAGTTAGAGTAAAGATGGGTTTGTGTATCATTTAAGATAGAAAGAGGTGGTACTCATGACCTGCTTTTCTTCTCTTAATTCACTATTGTGAACTTGCAGGCGGTCTCAATGTTGCAAACAACAACAAAGCAGACCATTCTAGGTGGGGCAACAGGACAACATATAGTTCAGAGAGATGGGTGGGTGACCGTTGTGCACCAAAACCAGGTTCTAAACGTTAACATGCAGAAAATGAGGTCACGGGTTGGAGAACCAGAAGAGGAGTTTCAGAGTATCAAGCATGAGAAGACAAGAGTGAAAAAGTTACAAAAGACATAAGAACCAAAGTTGGTTTGTAATATGTTTGAAGAGTTTACTTGATAATTCATAAACAAATTAGAAGTTGTTTCCATTTTAATGTTCATGTTCTTGGACTTATAACCTCAATCTATGTATGATTGGTTCGATCTATATATGCTCTTCCAGTCTTCCCAATCTCAAGCGCACAACAACATATGAATTGGTAGTCTTCTTCCATTTCCAATCCATCGTCTTCCATTGGCATGGTCACGATTCACAATTGATAAACATTAGCGCATGACAAGTGACATTTGGAATGGAATAAATACTATAATACCGTTAATGTTTCATAACCATCGTCTCTAATTTACTCAATAATTGTCAGCATATCTTATCTAATTTCTCAGTTACTCGCTTTTTATAATGATTCTAGATACAGTAGAACCTCTATAAACTAATACTCGATAAATTAATAATCACTATAAATTAATAAATTTTTCTGGTCTCGAATCGGATCAGTATAAAAAACCATCAAATTCGATAAGATAATAAAATAATAATTTTTTAAAACTCTTATGGAAATATATGGTTCCAACATAAACATAAATTAATAAAATAAAAAAAATTATGTATATAAATAAGAAATAATATACTAAAATATAATTAATGTGTTGTTTGTTTTAAGTTTGAATTTTTTTTGAAAATCATCTTTTTACTTAGTTACATCAATAACTTTTAATGTTTTTTTTTTAACTCCATTCAAAATTTGTAAAAAAAAATTTAGATATGATAATTGATTTCTTTACGCTTAACTGTTTCAAATTATATTATAGCATTGTTTTTAATTTCAGCACCAACATTACGGATAATAGCCATATTTTTCTAAAATCTTTACAATGAACATTTATATTTTTACATAGATAATTCAGTCTACAATTAACAAATAGAAATACTATTGTATTGCAATTACTATAATTAGTAATCATAATTTAAGTTTGTGTATATCAGTTTTATAAACATATTGGTTTAGGTTCTTAAATATACATCATTTGAAAGAAAATTTAAGAAAAAGATGGACGAAAACCAACTTTTCTCTATAATTAATAATTATTAATTTATAGATAAATTAATATCACGATAAATTAATAAAATATCATGATCCCAACATTATTAATTTATAGAGGTTTTACTGTATATTGACTTTGTTGTGATCTTAGAAAAAAACTGTATTTACCAAATAGCTTTGGAAAGTTTATTATTTTTAGGATTGTATAGTTCTATTGAAGATTAAAAGAAAAGTGAGTTTATTATTCAAAGATAGGATTGCAAGTAAACTCATTTCTCATTATTCCAATCAGATCTGATGTATTAATTTATTATTCAAAGTCGACGACAATGTCATTTATTGGTGTTCCACTTTCTCTTGCTCATTCATCTAAGGCAGTGAGTTTGTTTTCTTTCTTTTTTTTTTTTCTTTTTGTTTGAAAGTTAGAGTAAAGATGGGTTTGTGTATCATTTAAGATAGAAAGAGGTGGTACTCATGACCTGCTTTTCTTCTCTTAATTCACTATTGTGAACTTGCAGGCGGTCTCAATGTTGCAAACAACAACAAAGCAGACCATTCTAGGTGGGGCAACAGGACAACATATAGTTCAGAGAGATGGGTGGGTGACCGTTGTGCACCAAAACCAGGTTCTAAACGTTAACATGCAAAAAATGAGGTCACGTGTTGGAGAACCAGAAGAGGAGTTTCAGAGTATCAAGCATGAGAAGACAAGAGTGAAAAAGTTACAAAAGACATAAGAACCAAGTTGGTTTTGTAATATGTTTGAAGAGTTTACTTGATAATTCATAAACAAATTAGAAGTTGTTTCCATTTTAATGTTCATGTTCTTGGACTTATAACCTCGTGTATCTAGATATGAAGATGTTTATGTCGTTTTTGTGCTTTGTCAAACTGTTTTGAATCTTTAAATATGTGAACCTAATATGAATTGGTTAACATACGATTTAGGAGGACATTCTTAAATTTGTAAAAGTGATTCCTAAAAAATAAGAAGACTTCCGAAACTCTAAATTTAAGAAGCATTTATAAATATTTGGAAAAAAAATCATATAAATTTAAGAATGTCTTCTTTAATAATCACAAAACAAGAAAACGACCTTCTAAAATTTGAAGAATGTTTTTTCAAGGATTTCTCAAAGAGTTTTCTGAAGATGTTTTTAAACCCCAGAAATTTACTAAGAAGCTTTTATAATTTTTTAGGAATGTTTTTCTAAATGTTAGGAAATTCTTACTACAAATTTTCATGAAGAGTTTATATATGTTTTCTAAGAGTTTCAAAACCTCTAGAAACATTAATAGGTTTGCAGAGCATTTCTCATGTTTTAGGAAGCCATTTTAAACTTTTCGGAATGCTTTCCTAAATGATAGGAAAGTCTTACTAAAAGGATTTATGAAAGTTGTTTTCAAAGATTTATGAATTATATGAATGTTTCCTAAGAGTTTAAAGAAACCATTAATATTAAAAAGGTTTACAAAGTTTTCCTAATGTTTTAGGAAGCGCTTCCGTCTGCCAAAATATTAAAACGCAGCGACAAGATGTTCTTCCCGCTCCAGTTTGTTTAGATGGATCGTCGCTGCAATGAACTCACTGTAATCAATTGTCCTACTGTTTCCCACATCAGCCTGCCAATACAAGAGCTCGTCACTGAAAACACACAATAATTAACTTTCGTTTTGTAGCCAAATGAGATTAGATTTTACAGCTTCCATTAGATCATGGATCTCTGTATCTTTCAAGGTTGATCCATATTTCCTCAGCCTACTTTTGAGTTCATCAAACTTAATAGCACCGCTGTTATCAATATCCATTGGCTGAAACATTTCTCTTAAACCAGAAATCTCTTCTTCCGAGAGGCTCTCAGCTATAAAACCTG